GTGGTTGACTCATGAGCTTCACAGAGGGCCTCATGAGCAAAGAGGAGAGGGGACCATCTAGCATAAAAGAGGAAGGCCATTGCCACAGGTGGGTAGCCCACCAGGCTCTCCTAATGCCCCCCTCCACCTCCCGTCACTGCCAACTCCTGTAGGTAGTGGCATAAGCATGGCACTGCAGAGTCCACATCTAAGCATGCCCTTCTCTGCTCGCTGTTTCCCAGTTAGGTTGAGCAGGGACATTCTTGACCTACTGCCATCAAGTGTCCCAAGAGCCAGCTAAATGTTCTCTCACAATTGATTCCAGACTCTTTGGAGTCATGAATGAGTGAGGCCAGCCCTCAGGGAGGGGACCAGGTTGGTCTAGCTACCACCTTGAGGTGGGAGGTTTCCCTGGTAAGCTGGTAGGGTCACCCAGGGGAGGCCCTCACCCAGATCTCACTCAGGAAGAGTCGGCATCCTCAGACCGCAGGTGGTCAGCAATATAGTTTACACCTTCCAGGGTTTTCTGTATGCGAGGCTCCCCAGGGGGAGCCTCCGCCCTGGGCCCTGAGGCCTGTGGGTGCAGGCGTCTGCAGCCATAGATGATACCCATGGAGGGGGCTGGGAGGCCTGCACACACCCATCTGTCTTTCTCCTCCTCCTCCTCTGCCTCCTCTCTCTCCTCTGCGTTCATGTTGGTCTCCAACCAATAACAAGATGGGCCGAGTTTCAGGCCTGGGGAGTCGTGTGGCTCCAAAGGAGGCTGGTTCATCAGCAGCCACCGGGGCACACGTCCCAGCAGGGCCACCCGCACCCAGCGGGGCATGCTGTGGGTGCTGGGGGAGCGGTGGTGCACGTTGAGCACGAAGACGGTGATGACGATGGAGAAGGTGACCAAGATCATGGTGAAGAGCAGATACTCGTGGATGAGCGGGATGACCAGCGAGGTGGACGGGATGATCTCAGTGATGAGCAGCAGGAAGATGGTCAACGAGAGCAGCACGGAGATGCACAGCGTGACCTTCTCGCCGCAGTCGGAGGGCAGGTAGAAGACCAGCACGGTGAGGCAGGAGGTGAGCAGGCAGGGGATGATGAGGTTGATGGTGTAGAAGAGCGGCAGCCGGCGGATGACAAAGGCATAGGTGACGTCAGGGTAGATCTCCGAGCAGCAGTCATACTTCTTGCTGTTGTAGGTGCCCGTGGCATTGATGATGGCCCACTCGCCACTCTCCCAGTAGTCCTTCAGGTCCACCGTCTGCTCCATCAGCTCCAGGTCGATCTTGGCCTTGTCATAGGTCCAGGAGCCAGACTTCATCTTACAATTCTGCTG